CATGGATTATTGTATTTGAGGCTACATTATCATGAAAACTTTTCACATTTGGATTACCAAGTCATTGTACAGGGTGGTCAAAAAATGGAAACCCTGCATTTTCCTTATATCTTTGTCACTTTAAATATTACTCCCTGATATTTCAAACATCTGTACATCATACAATTCCCCACCACCCTACTATATTTCATGACCATCAGACTGATAGTCACAATTTTACAGCACTATGAATAACATGCTTCAGGTTTGGCCATCATTGCATGCGCTGTAGGCAAAACAGCACAGTTGTCAATGACCCGAATGCATTCCTCAGTAGGTATGGCCTGAATGAATGATCTCACTTTTGAGGTTTGCAATTGTCCTGAGGTCAGTCTCATATACTCTATCTCTGCCATATCCCCAAAGTTAGGGACATTTTAGACGATAAATACAGGTTTCCCCACAACGCAATAGTGGCCACTGGGCATGTTCTTTAAAGTACTGAAACATTGTGACTATCAATCTGATGGTCATGAAATAAAGTAGGCTGGTAGCAAATTGGATGATGTACAAAATTTTAAAATACCAGGGAGTTATTTTTTAAAATGACAAAGGTATGAGGAAAATGGTATTAGGGAATCCATTTTTTTACCACCCTGTATTTGTCATTGTTTTAAACTTGTTTTAAGGAAAGTTCTCACATTTGGTTTATCAAGCCACGTTGTCTTACATTGGATTTTTACCTATACAAGGAAGGTTATCACATTTTTGTTGTCAAAATCATTGTTTTACACAAGATTCATCAAGGAATTTTTCTATTTTTTGTTGTTGGATTTACTGAGAAAGGTTTTCACATTTTGTTTCCCAATTCATTGTTTTACACTTGATATACCAAGGAAGGTTTACACATATGATTTCTCATGTCATTGTCTAACACTGAATTTAACATGGAAAGTTTTCACATTTAATTTAACAAGTCATTGTTTTACACTGGCCTGATTTATCAAGGAAAGATTTCACATTTTGTTTCCCAAGTCATTGTTTTACGATGGATTTACCGAGAAAAGTTTTCACATTTTGTTTCCCAAGTCATTGTTTTACGATGGTTTTAACAAGAAAAGTTTTCATATTTTGTTTCCCAAGTCATTGTTTTACGATGGTTTTAACAAGAAAGGTTTTCATATTTTGTTTCCCAAGTCATTGCTTTACAGCTGAATTTTCCAAGGAACGTTTTCACATATGATTTCTCTTGCCATTGTCTTACACTGGATTTAACAAGAAAAGTGTTCACATTCGGCGAATCAAGTCATTGTTTTACACTTGTTTTACCTAGGACATTTTTCACATTTGGTTTACCGAGTCATTGTCTTACATTGGATCTACCGAGGAAAGATTTCACATTTGGTTTACCAAGTCATTGCCTTACATTGGATCTACAGAGGAAAGATTTCACACCTGGTTTCCCGAGTCATTGACTTACGCTGGATTTACCAAGGAAAGGTTCATAATGGTTTACCAAGTCATTGTCTTACACTGGATTTACCAAGGAAAGTTTCATACATGGTTTACCAAGTCATTGTTCACACTGGATTTACCTAGGAAAGTTTCACACATGGTTCACCAAGTCATTCTCTTACACTGGATTTACCAAGGAAAGTTTCACACATGGTTCACCAAGTCATTGTCTTACACCTGATTTACCAAGGAGCTAGATGATAAACAGTAGGACGGGTCGCGCTATAAAAATCATCCTTGGTCCAAGGGTATTTCAATTCTTTCCAAGCTCAACGAGTCCAGATTTTGAAACTATGCACACCGAGGACCAATCTTGAGGGATGCATAAAAAATACCCCGCCTGTGTTAGGCTAATTACATCACACACGTTTTTCCAATTATACGCAAGGACAAATCGAATACCATACATATCTGTAGTAGACATCTTGAAAGTCAGTTTAAAATTAGAAACATTAGAGCTATCCTAGATCTCTACAATATTTGTAAACATGATTATAAAACCATTCAAGAATTACAGAACGAATGTCACTGATTTGTAATTAGTAATTCCTCATAAAAGTATCAATGATATCATTACGAACATCTGGTGCTTTGAAGTAATCAGTTTTATCTTCGTAAAACTAGATTTAGGTTAGAGATCGAATTTGCCATTTAAACATGATAGAGAAAATATAGAAGAAGTTTTAAGAAATAGTTTTAAATGAACGTAACATTTATCAACACCTTAAAAAGATTTCAGTTTATGAACTGGGTTGTTCAGGATTTGGGATGCATTGCAGGTCGATCAGTAATTAGAAAATACTATCTTCATTCACTCCCCCCCCCCCCTTCAGTTTAATTAAACACTTGTATGGTTACTTCCAGTTTGTGTAGGATGGGCCCATTATAAATGCTGGTTGAAATATATCCAAGACACTATTTTAAAAATGCGCACGACATGTGTTTGAACATTTCCATCATAACGCCTTATGAATATTATCTTCATATTTGCATTTTCGGAAAAATTGAAAAAATACAGATTTACAATTAAACACCCCATGACTCAACAGTCTGGACTCAACACACTTCCATTTCTCTGCATTAGTTAAACCTGATTGAAATAAAGGACGTAGCAAACACATTAATTTACATTTTTAGTTGATGCAGTGAAGAAGTGCTGATGTCGCCTTCTTTAGCTCACAGCGAGATAGCCTTAAAGTTTTCCTTGTGACCTTGGGGAAAAGTACCTAGTACCTAAGTTGAAGAATTTCACTTGATTTAACGTACGTGATAAAAAAAATTGGAGCTTCGAATTCCAAACACTCAAAAGTTTCAAATTTCAAATTCAGATGACATCTTTATTACTGAGTCATTGACCGTCCGTCCATAAAATGAAACTGTTCGTTTCAGGTCGAATCTCGAGAAATGTTATACATACAAAAATCACATTTTGTAGAATCTATGTAGAACTATCAAAAGGGTTATTAACTTATTAGTTGCATTTGTGATTGAAAAACGTTCATTTCATGGTACTTCATGAGCACATTCCTTCCTATTTGTCATTACTCAATTTCTGCCATCTTGTTTTTTGGTAACCATATCATTTTTTCGATAAATCTTGTCATCGACATTTTAGGAAAGCCACTCTTCGAATTTTCTCCAAATTCTCGGTAAAGCAGCCATTTTAGGATTAATTCAATTTTTGTCACTTTCTGTTCGTATGACCTTCATTGTTTTCAAATATGTTGATTGGAATTCTTGTGAATATGTACTATTCTATTACCATTCATGAACTAGACACAACATTTTTGCTCCAGACTCAAGAAGCTCAATCTACAGCTATGTGAACTTGAACCAACAGTGCATCAAATACAATGGACATAAACATCAAGTTCATCAATTATCACGGCAAACTGGCCTTCAAGATGAATATCATTTTGCACACAAAGAAAAACATGTTTTTGTTCACTTAGCATTGTTTCCAATATAGAATATGATCCGTTAGTAATCTCAACTATAAAACTGCAATAACCTTTGTTACGCATCATAAGTCAATTCGTTCATATAAAATGTTTATGTTATTGTTTTTGGACACGTTTATTATGAGATCTACAGGGTGTGCCTAAAAGCTTCAATATCTTTTATTTTGATAAACATTTATGCAAATGCATGAATTTCAATAAAATTTTCGCAAGGGATGCTGAAATGACTTTTGCAGTTTCTGAAATGTGTAATAATTTCTTAAATACCTAAGTATTCTATCAATGCATAAACAAGAATCTAAGGATGATACTATGATATTGAGCTTGTTTCACAAAATTGATCATTTGTGATATCATGGATGATCTTAGAATCTGCCAAATTCTCGGAAGATCAACGTTTTGACAAAATCAAGAAAAGATTTATGAGAAATTCAGAATGAAATTCCAAAGAAGAAATAAAATCAAAGACTCCTTTAATATTTTATTTAAAAATTGAAAAATAAGCAACGGCAAAACACCTACAGTAAAAAATCAGATGACTGAAATTCTTGGCCGCTGAGCAAGAACACCTCAAACGCTTTACAAAATTCTGTTGTATTTTAAACACCTGAATGAAAAAAATTATCAGCTTTCCTATCATGGGAGGTTTCTCAGATGGTCACTCTGAAGATGGCTTAAAGGTTGCTGGGATACTTCTTCATTTATGATCTCAACCTCTGCACTCAAAAAATGCAGCTTGAGATGAACCTAAAAGAATGTGATTGGTTTAAACAAACGATGTGTAACCCTTTAGATGACATGAAAATTTCTTTTTCTCTCAATAGTGGCCACATTTTCTAATTGACCAAAACTACTCAAAAGAATATTGAACCATGTAAAGAATTTAGTCTCACATTGCCATACATAGATTGTAGTTTCTGTCATGAAATGATTAATGATTATTAAAGAAGTTATTTCATTTTTGGAGGGTTTGGGTCACCCTGTAATATGTCAATTTGGGGATTATTGTTTTAGGCATGATGAATATTATCCTGACAACTGTATATTTTCATTAAAAATGCCCTGTGTCCTTTAACCTTTATTATTTAGAAACCACCGAAGATTTATTTATCCCATTTCAGAGACAATTGCATCCAATAAACTAGATTTAGTAGAAATAACCTTGATTCACGTCATCAAATGATCAAAAGTTAGTCAAAATGATATCATATTAGAAATCCACATGTAAAATTACATCTAAAAATGCGATCCTTGCAAAAGGTTTCATTGAAAATATGTTCTTTAAGTGATTTTGTATCTTATAGAAAATATTTTGCAATGTGTGAAAATAATTTAAGCCCAAGACATGCATTGTGGCTGCTTCATTCCACTAAGATGTTGTTTCTTAAAGATTTGGAAACAACATCTTCGTGGAATGGTTCAGCACACAATGCTTAAATCCTTAAATATTGAATGATGTAGAGTTCGTATATCTGTATATATTTCTGAGGGTAGATAACATATAGAGCTGATGTTATAGAATCACAAAAAGTGAAATAATATAACGTGTTATTCTGTTGGACAGATTATATTTTCTTTTACTAGACATTTGTATAATTGACACATAAAGTTTATATGGATTTTGATCCACTTAAACTTATGCATATTCGAGTTTAAGGGAGGGATCTACCAAGACTATGTTATTTGACCCGAATTAGCCACCTGGTGTTGAAACTGTTAACTTCCTACTGGCATCTGGGTTATTTATTCCCAATGTGCGCACTTAGATTATGGTACCTGTGAACATGTAAACGTGATTACTAGTATTTACATATATACTAGTATACAGGTATACAAGGTGGGCCAAAAACGTTCATATAATTTACTTGACGAACCTTTTCAATGTTTCAGTCTAAAATATTTACAATCGAAATGCGCGCACTGGATGTTTGATACTCGCATTTCAATATTGCCTTTGGATTAGACATCACAGAGTTAAAGTAGGAGATGTAACGGATGATTTTCATTCAAAATTAATATAACTGATACACCAAGCCAGAGATATTTTAATATGTCTTTGACCAAGTCAGTCACACTCGAGTACTAAACCAGTCAAGTATTTGACTATCAAGCTCAGATTATTAACAATTGAATCTAGTGTCTTTGGACTCTATAGTAAGAAAAATACAATTCCACAAAATATTTCTGAGATGAAACTTGGATTTATTGCAATCTAGAACTGCCTTTGAGATAAATTATGCCTACTAATTTAAAGATGGCATTAATGTATAATGTTTACACAGAGACATGTAAATTCATCTTCCCAGCGCAGGGGTCCGGGATCCAGAATTTACTCTTTCTCAATGTTTAGGTATGTATTATTTTTGCACTGGACAATATTTCCTGTTTGGTATAGCTACAAGCCGTTTGTCGTCAAAAGGTATAATTATGATATATGGATTGGAAAGATAAGACTCAGGTTTCAGAATCTGAAATAATTCAGACATTCCTTTGTATGATGTTTTAAAGATCAAAATGTTAACCTAATCCTGAGAAAAGTGTCAACGTTTTTTGTCATCAAGGTTCATCAACCTTCTGTCCAATATGTTTTTATTTTGCTTGATATTAGCAATTGATGTAAAAGTTGTAATTACGGGTACAGTATATCCATCCATGTTTTAATATATTTACTCTATGAATGATTTTTTGATTTACTGGATATCCTTACAAAAATGGTTTATTCATGATATTCAGATTTAATTTCTGGATTGCAACATATCCAAAATTTCAGAATATGAGTTCACGATTGCAATATCTTTTGCAGTTTCTCCAAATGTATTGCACAGTGTTATTTTTGATCCCTTTTCTACCAAAAGTTTAACTGTATCAACATCCCCATCTGCAGCTGCATCGTGGAGTGCTGTGTTACCCATCGCATTCTGTTTGTTAATGTTTCGGTCACCGCACAGTATGTCGATCAGCATTCCAGTTGCACGCGTCCTACATGCCAAATGTAACACTGTGTCCCCATCCTCGTTCTGAATCCCCACATCAGCGCCGTAAGAAAGTAGGAGTTCGGCAATTTTCTGATCAGATGTTGGAACGCAGCCGAATAAAGGCGTCTCCCCAGAATGTGTTTGAGAATTTACGTTCATTCCAGCTTCTAAGAGATATTGGACCATTTCCACACAACCTTTAGCGGCTGCGGTATGCAATATGGTTGCCCCATTGAATGTTGTAACGTCCACCTCAGCGCCAGATCTATGAAGATATTTTGTCATATCAGTATTCATTGCAGCGGCTGCGTAACAAATCGGTGTATGGCCATGTCTGTCGGCGAGATTAACATGTGCACCAAGCTTTACAAGTACCTTAGCCAACGTCAAATGACCGTGAAACGCAGCAAGGTGTAGGGGTCGTTCCCCTTCGGAACCTTCTGTAGCAGGAACATTTATATCAATTCCAAGTGAGTAAAAATACTCCACAAGTTCCAAGTTTCCATTTATAGTCGCTGTGTGTATAGGTAACATGCCAGAGCATCCGCCTTCCCCAGCGTCTGCCCCTGCAGCGCACAATATTTTCACAATCCCCATGTTGTTTTTTCTTGTTGCTATATTCAATGGTGTCTCTACTAGTTCGTGTTCAGACCAGGACAAATCACATTTTCCATCGATGAGGAGCTGGATCATACGTTTGTCCTCGTTAAGAATTGCGTCACTCAACGGGCACATTCCCTCCGAGGTAAATGTGTGAAGTGAAGCCCCAAAGCTTTGTAGTAACTCAACGATATCATGTCGACATTCAAGTACAGCAAGGTGAAGAGGTGTTGGACCAACGATTCCCTCGGAATCAATCGGTTTGTTTAATTCAACACCAAGTTCATAAAGCACCTTAATCAGTTCAACGTTATGTGTTTCAACTGCAATATGTAATGGTGTAGACCCTTGTCCATTCCTCACATTACCATCTATGCCGATGTTCTCAAAGAACCTTAAAATATTTATGTGACCGTGTCTAGCAGCAATATGCAGTATCTCATCTTCTTTATTATCTCTCTGTGTGAAGTCGACTTTCATTTTACTGTAATATACAATCACGTCCAAATGGCCTGCTTCAGTGGCGTAGTGAAATGGTGTTCTTCCTTTACGATCGCACGTATCCATGACAGCATTTCTATCGTTTAGATATTTAATGACTTCGAGTTGATTATTGGACGCTGCTTCGTGCAGTGCAGTTTTGCCATTGGACATCTGTATGTGATTCATGTCCATTCCTTCATTAAGGAGATGTACCAATGTCTTGAGATCTCCAACCTTTGCCGCTTCTATCCAGAGTCTCTCCATTAGGAAGCATTTGTATTGTTTGTACATCTCTATCACCTGCTTTATATCACTGTCTACCTTCACAATAATGTTTCAATGTAGGCTACATCAGCCAGCAAGCATGGCCATCAGAATGAGAAATGGCAACTCGTGTCGAATCAATCATAAAAGCAATAAGAGGTAAAAATAGCTGTTTTTGTAAGTGGTATCATATATCTTAGTTCCACCATATCCATATCAATACGTGTGTATAAAATCAAGATATGCCAAGAGACGATCTGATTTAGGTGTCATCCATTCATCATTAATTCTCTGGAGAATATTATTGCCTCAATTAGTAGCTTGATTACAAGAAATATGTTTTTCTTCATAAAGCATATCATTATGTTCTGTGATCATGATATATTATATCAGCTGCTATTGTGTTGAGAACAGTGTGATTCCATATAATAGCTATTAGTTTTATTCCTTCAGCATTATCCTAATGTAGAATATCTGTAGTTGTTATCGACAACCTTTATCCCTATAAATAATGATAACATTTATAAAGGGATTCCATATCCCATTCATTCACTACAATAGATAATGCTTTGTGGATTGTATGAGGTTGAAGTGTTTGATTTACCAAAAAACACAATTATTTTTCCCGCATTGTATTCTCTGTTAAGAAAACAAATATTTGCCGCTTTTAACGTTCTATGACGATATTGAACAGGCTTCTAATATATCGTCAGAACACCCTGAAACTGTGATTCTAAGTCTGTACAACAATATACTTAACAGCCAATACGAAAATGCAATTGCATCTCGAGTAATCATATACGTTTAGTAATGTTATTAAAGGAAATATATGTCCATTACAATAGGTTATTTACCGAGATGGACGGAATATTCAGAGGGAAAATATGATATTTGCCAAAGAAAATATCATATTGACAGAGGGCGATATAGCCCGAGTGACAATATGATATTTTCCTAGGTCAATATCACGACCATCAATAACCTATTTATTCCATAATATTTTTCTGGAACTTATTTTTTGTATGTCATTAGCCAGATGGTGACATGAAATGATACAATTTAAGTTATCAATAACATTTTGTATTTTTAATCCAGTTTTAAAATAAAAATAATAATTATAAAAACCGTAAGAATCGGGAGATATCTCCGGGAATGGTTATGATACGGGGATTTTGGCTGATATCGTTTTTTTTAATCAATTCTATTCCCTGTTTATTTCCCATTGAAAACATGTTATCATGGAATAAATAGAATCATGTTTGTAATTATATAACAAATATACCAATGACCTCATTTCAAAGGGCAGCATAGCGAAATCTTGGCCCAAGGGCCGACGGATCGAGGGCTGAGATATGTTGCCCGCTAAACTGAAATTATTAGTATTATCAGTGCCATCAAACGATAAATTCCCGGGTATTGTAACGCCCTTGCTAGTACTACTGAATAGGCCTCGCAAGGTGATGATACAACGCATTCGATGTTTATGAAAATGGATTCAGTACATCATGGAATACCATGGACCTCTCTTGCATCATAGATCAACTAAAGACAGACAGGTTTTTAGATGCGATGTGTGTCAGAATGGATTCAATATGGATTTTTATCAAATGCTATCAACCATCGACACTGATTCCTTTGCAAGGGTTGAAACAATTTTACGCAGATAAAATGACCGCATTGCACATTGCACGGGGGTGAAAAAAATTACAAGCAATGTGTACAATTTACCTACCAATCTATTCCTTACAATTTCAAATACAAATCTCCCAAAAGATTCACGCTACGTTATAAATTGTTGAAGTTATAATGGATTCAAAGTGCAAAAATGAGTGAAAAATGTTTAAATTCTCCCAAATAATAAGAATGGTAACCATTCTTGTAGAAAAATAAGACGTTGTTGTAAATATCTTTAGTTTTCCTGAAATAAAGTATGCACTTTGATGATTTCAAGAAAATAGACATGAAAAGGAATGACATGAGTCAGAAATATTCTAAAATTGAAACAATTTTTGTTGGGCTGCTCACTAGATCTGATTCTCTCTTTGGGGTATCTTATTCCTTCAAGATCGATAGATCATGTATCAACAATTGAAAGCCATTTGATGTTAAGAAATGTTTATTTTATGTGAGGATATTTTCTTTCTTTAATACTTATGCGATAACATATTGATTGGTCAGTATCACGGTATCATCCGTCACTTTCATTTCCTTTTATACTTGTAGATTCGCAATGACGTCTCTGAGTACCTTTAACAAAAAATCGATTAAATTGGCTCTGTGAAGGCATATCCATCGGCAGCTACTTTTCCACTTGGATTGTTGTTCTAATCTAGACAAAAAACTCTTGACAACTTCGTTGTAATCTGTTAATTCGATAGCATTAGTGTCTGACATAATCTCCATGGAAACGTCAAGATGTCACTATAGTGACACAAGATCAGCTTCCCGATCCAGTAAACTAAGTGTTAAGATAGATAATATTCTATCTACATTACAATCTACTTTGCTTTTGTTGTCCTTCTTTAAGATAGCATGAACTTTTGCATACCGCACGAATAACATTAATTAAACTGCTTTGGCTTCATTACTGAAGCAGGTCATTATGACAATCCGAATCCAAACGTGATGCTCTTTGATCTAGTCCAAAAGCAAGACTATATGTACACGTCCTGCCATCGGAAAAGGTGAACGTATGGGGAGTAGCCGATTTCTGCGAGAAGATTCAACAAATCTGAAAGATTTATTTCACGAGTAGGTTCACGATATGTTGAAATCTGTGTGCCCTCATGTAGGTATTCTAAGTTACTCTCCAGGTTCTGGTTTCGTGCTTGACAAATAAATGTGTCTTTGGATAATCATGTGGACCTTTATCTCGGGGATATAGGTTCATGGCATAATGTAGTCGTTTTTGCGGATGGATGTTGACCCTTAGCGATACATTTATGGACTGTATTTTAGCTATCCCACATCATTTGAGACTGAATGTCATTTATCAAGTGTATGAGTACGAGTGTCTACAAATATTTTTGATGTCCCCTACCTATATTTTTGATGCCTACTACAAGTTTCATTGACCATTATTAAAACTACTACAAGTTCCATTGACCATTATTTATTAAAACTTTTAAACATTGACCATTATTAGGCTTAAACTTTTAATAATGGTCCATGGAACGTGTAGGCTTGTAGCGGAATATTAACCTGGGCATTTGACATCGTTTTCTTTTCAGGTTGGATCATAATTTGGAATAGTTGGGATTTGTTTTCCTTTTGACTGGTTTACACTTAGAATAAGATGTTTTATTTTTCTTGCTGGGTTCTGTAAAACTTTCTTTGTCCTTTCCCATTGGCACTTGCGCGTCGCGTGCCTTCATACATGGACGTATTTTATCGTTCCTCCATGGAATAATCGAAGGAACAGGTGAGTACTGTCGTATAGCCCATGGTATGAAATTCCTAGGACTGGTTACAATCACTTGGTCCTCGTTCCATGGGACTTTATCGTCGCTAATTCTGTACATGTATTAAGCTCTTGAGATAATGTATCATATGAAATCCCAATTTCGATCGAATTGGGTCGTGAATCGCCACAATATAGCGTCTTCGATATCTGATCAATGACAACGGAATCTGAATTTGGGATAATTTACAAAGACAATGGCATATGGTAAATTATTTATGTCACAAGAGCTTAATACTTTCATGCACAAAATTAACGACGATAAAGTCCCATGAAACGAGGACCAAGTGATTGAAGAGTTGAAGCGACGGTTATGTTCGCCATTTGTGACAACGGTATCTGAATTTACCGTTGTCAGACTATTCCGGTGTGAGTAACGTCGAAAGAGAAATGCGAGGCGTTTGATTACATATATCTCTTATAAACTATTAGACATGCCCTCTGAATATATAAATGTTCTAATACCTCTATAACATTCAAATAGATAGTACCCCACACACTAATTAGTCACAAACTTTAAAACTTGTTTTAAACACTTTACCTTTATTGAATCATCATGCAATTTCACATGGATAAACTATAAACAATTTCCAACACTCAATTTTTTTTGATTTGCTTGAATTTTAATTTTCAAATTTAAACAGTCATTTAAGATGAAACACAACGATTTCACATTTTTATGCTTTATTTGTGTATACTTTGCTTCCTGTTAATTTTTTGAGATGTACAAAACTTGAAAAATTTAATCACTTGAATAAACTTTAACATCTATTACTTTTTAAGTAGTTTTCCAATACATTACTGGCCGTGGATAGCATTACGAAGACAGTGGTTCATGTCTTTGTGTAGATTTATATATGCTTCGTGGGCCATTGGAATAGGAATAGGAATTGTTTGTGCAATAGGCAGAAACATTAATTTACTGTGAAATTTGAAAACTTTATGTGATCAATAAATAATTTCATATTTGTTATGAGGAACACAAGAGCCCTATTTTGTAAAAACAAACATGTCATAGTAAAGTTATACTTCTTTCCAAAACTTTGGCAACCTTGGGCATGGGGTGGGATCGTGTAATTTTGGGAAGACCCCAGAGGATGACATTTTAGATTTAGAAATAATAAATTCAAAAAATTTATTTTTAGCTTAAAAGATACTTCTTCTTAGACAAAAAATATTTTGTAGGAATTTTAAGCCTGTTCTGGTCCAAAACGAAGTCGCAGACGTCGTTTTTGTTTAGCATAAGAGAGTTCTGTCCCACAAAGAAGACCGGTGCATTCATCAGTTGCTGATTATTTCGATTGAGTTTATTTTATTTTCATATAGTTGGAAAAATACATATGAAATTATAAAAAGTCAGGTATTAATATTCGAATAATGTAGGGCTAATTTGTTACTCAAGAGATCTGAACAAAAAACGTTTCATATTAGAACAGTCACTTGTATCTATAGAAGATTTTCTCCATATCAAAACATTTTGATTATCTCATACAATTAATCCGCTCTTGGGAATTTACCAGCTCGGGGGACTTCCCAGGAAATAGGAACTTTCTTAAAACAAAACATAATATCGAAATGCACAATTTTGAAATAACAGATTCAAAGACTGTAAAAAGATTTGTGTAAACGTTGTAAAAAATTAAAATAGAAAACGATATTTTGGAGTAAGCTTATAGGCCGTCTGCGCCATTTTCAATCCTTGTGTTTGATCCGATCCATGGCTTCCAACAAAATTCCTGCAAAATAATGATTAGCTGTAAAGTTTAAAAACTGTGCTAAATTTTTGATATTTCTTGGTATAAATCAAGAGGGAAAAATTTGACTTTATTTCTTATACTTCAAAAGTTTCCCTCTATTAAGTACAGTCGGTCGAAAATCGATGACTGATGAATAATATTTGAAAATCGACATTCTCTTGTAAACCAATGCGAAATGGTGGGTTCAGTACCCTTACTATAAACACGGACCTGAAGAACTCTTAAAGTCCGTGCTATAAAGGACATCATGAAAATGTAGGTGAATTTCATCGTCCAAAATCACTTGAGGTTGGTGAGTTAACATAACTTTCAAATGGTAAGATTATATCACACTAGGCTCCATCTATGTTTTAGCTGTACTAGCAGGGGGACGGGACTTGTTTGACACTCTGTGTAGGCTAAATACAAAAATGCGTTTATGTGAAGAACTCTGAAGAGAGCCTCCCCCCTCCCCCAAGAGGGGGTGTTGTGAATAAGAAAAAAAGAACGGGTTTATGTAAAACACCGACCATCGACCACCGACCAGTCACTCTCCACAGTTGGGTACATGTGGTCGGTGGTCGGCTGACGGTCTTTTACATAAAGATGAAAAAATGCAAAATTAGAAGTAAAACTAAAACTGGGAATCCAATGACTATAGTACCTTTACTAGGTCGTGATTTAAAAACGTATAATTAATCATTTCAAATCACGATGAAAACGTTACATCGTCGTGGTGTGTAATGTCATATTTTTAAGTGATGTTTCAGTTGTTAGAAGACCAATTTCATCCTGGTTAGTCACTTTGGAAAAAAAACGCACGTAACATTGCATTAAGTTCATTCATATGAAACGCAATAACAAAAACACACAAACATCGTCGATGTTGACGTCGTAACGTTATGTTTGATTTCTCAGTTGTTAAACGTCAACTGGTAAAAACTACATTTGATATGACAAAAAAAAGCTTTCTAATGGTGTACTGAAATGGTAAGTCACTTTAATCCCGATAAGAGAACGCATGTAATATCGTGTTCAGTATTCAGTAGGCTATGACGATAACAAATTTGTTTCGAAATTGTTAAATTTCAGTAAAAAATTAGGATAGATTCCCGTAGAAACGATAGGTTGGTTAATGATAGGTTAGGACCTAAGGCAGGACAATTAATCGAGAGGAGACGGTCATGCCCAATTTGTTTGCTTGCCATTCGTTGCAAGGTACAAAATCGGTAAAAACCGTTGCCTAGTCCCAACGATTGACATTCAAAATCAAATTATTAATATTTTAAGGCTACAAATATTATGTTCGGTCTTTTACATGATATGGTCGGTCTTTTAAGCCTACACATTTTCTTCAAACCCTGTTTTGAGACTACCAGTGGAAAACACCGACCGGTCGGTGGTCGGTGGGGTCGGTCTTTGTTACATGCGTTCTCTTATCGAGATTAAAAGTGACTTACCATTTCAGTAAGCCTACACCATTAGAAAGCTTTTTTTGTCATATCAAATGTAGTTTTTACCAGTTGACGTTTAACAACTGAGAAATCAAACATAACGTTACGACGTCAACAATCAACATCGACGATGTTTGTGTGTCTTTGTTATTGCGTTTCATATGAATGAAGAATGAACTTAATGCAATGTTACGTGCGTTTTTTTCCAAAGTGACTAACCAGGATGAAATTGGTCTTCTAACAACTGAAACATCACTTAAAAATATGACATTACACACCACGACGATGTAACGTTTTCATCATGATTTGAAATGATAAATTATAAGCTTACGTTTTTAAATCACGACCTAGTAAAGGTACTATAGTCATTGGATTCCCAGTTTTAGTTTTACTTCTAATTTTGCATTTTTTCATCTTTATGTAAAAGACCGTCAGCCGACCACCGACCACATGTACCCAACTGTGGAGAGTGACTGGTCGGTGGTCGGTGGTCGGCGGTCGGTGTCGTAAACCTTACTCGAGTCTCTAGCTTTGGACCGAAGTAACAGTCTATAGCCGTCCTGACGGGATAAAAAGGGACAGTGGTGCTTGTCCATGCCCGGTCCATGCCAACGGTCCCCAATGATTTGTAAAACGTAATGAAAAGATCTTTCATAGGCCGTCGAAACTCACTCAGTCCGTAAGGTGCCGTCTTACGCGCATTCTGTAGGCCTATATGGATGATCAATTTAGCATGAAAGTAACGGACCTATCTGCCACGGTTGTGTTTCTGAAGATTTCTGTTCATAAAATAGTTCCTCTGTATTATTACTTTTTCTTCAAGTATAAACAAATGTGAGTCAAAATATTTAAATGTGAAAGATCTTACGTCATTTTAAGATAGCTGTACTTTAATCAACTATGTTTGATAATTATGTTTGATAACAGATTTGACTGTTGGCGAGTTCGAAAGTACATCTATTACTCCGCCATTTTCCTCAAAATGGCGCGGAAAATTTGATCGTTCAAGTTAACTTCCGTATTTTGCTAATTATATCTTAACTACGGCTGATCTGCTACTCTATCAAGACTGAAATGGTGGCAGGTATGTATGCTAAGGTTTTGAATTTCTTAAATTAAATCTGAGCCTCAAAAGCATTCATTATCACGAATGAATCGCCAAAATATTTGAAAATTTTTTCAATTTTTTTCATAATTATTGCCATTCCTAAAATTTGTCTAATATTACTCAGCTGCACTCTTAGTCTTCAGTCTAAGGAAGATGTAACAACTTATACATCATAGGCCCACGTTTACGATCCTATACGTTTCAAGCTCTTGTGCACTCACTAATCTAGGTTACTCTACCGAGCTGACAGAAGTCAGCTCTGGGAAGTTCCCTTGGCATTGCAATGAAGAGAAGTTTATGAGCGCATGCGCCAAAATTAAAAGATGGTGCGCGCCGAAACAGAAATTTCTCCAATTTAACTGCAAATTACACAACAAATAGGACTTGTTGACACCACGCGTCAAAAAAGGGGCAAGTAATATTCAATTATCTTCCTAAATACCGTTACTTATGCCAGCGCACCAGCTGGAAGTTGGGGAAAAACGCTTCACAAGCCGGTATATTCTAACGTTGTGTCAGCTGGCTTTTGAGCCAGGTGTGTTCAGTAAAATCTAGGTGTGTGTTTATGTTTATGAAGTTGTTAGAAAAAACATGAGGGAGGGTTACCGTACTAATATTTGCACAAAGTCATCTTTAGATAGATGGCTATGCATATGGGTGACCCATGAGGTAACTTAGGAAATGGGGTTCTACTTAACGTTACGCCCTTATCCCGTTCCCGGACTATGGTCCTGTGAACATCTTAATCTTTTGCCTGTGCGATTACAACATGGGAGAATTTTTTACTCATCTTACACTTCAGATACCTACTTCAATAGATTCCTTGGTAATTTAGCATTCTTTTCGTGTAGTTGAATCCACAATTGTCTGGGTTTATCGGCAGAACGAAGACATTTTCGTTTTTGATCGCAATATTTGCGTGTAACATTTAACTAATTTCAACCGTCAAATTCCTCCATATTGGTACTTCCGGGCTACATCCGGGACAGCCAAACGGGGGATTCCCCTTTTAAATCCAACCGCCATTTTGGAAAGTGATGGAATCTCTCTCGATGAAAAAGAGAAATGTTCCCGTTCTGCCGATATACCCAGACAATCGGCGGTTCCAATATATTAGAAGTTACATCTTGAGTTCTATAATGCATTGAGGTAGGTATCTTAAGTGTAAGGGGCGTAGATAATTCTCCCAAGTTGTAATCGTACAGGCAAATGAATGCGCTCAGTGCAGGTCTATAGTCCGGGAACGGGATAATTACGCCCCAGTCAATTACAGTTTGATTTCTGCCCAAATCATATCGATAAGCTTTCCAAATCAAACTGTCATTGACTGTGAGCTGTAGGCACATGCTATCTATTGCAAGACTTATGCCTGGCACAACAGTCACCATATATAAAGTGTTTTTAAGTTTCGCAATGATCCTGCCATGACCGTGGTAGTGATATCGCGAAAGCCTGGTATTACCATGACAATGCTATATTGTATTGAAAGGCCTGTCAAAGGCTTATATGACTGTGGCAATGGTTGTAATGTAAGGCCTGTCATGGCCGTGGTAATGTTAAAGCTTGATATGACCGTGACAATGTTAGCATTCTTGAATGAGATTAGAATTAGAGTATGTGAAAATGAATTATGAGTTAAAGTAGGAGTAGTATCTGAAATTTTTCATTACGGTATTCTCATGCTACTAAATGTCATTTAATATAACCATTATCACTTTCATATTGTGCTTTAACATTACCATGGTGACAGGCCTTGCAACCATTGTCACGGTTATATCAGGCTTCAATAGGCTTTAACATTATCAGGCTTTAACATTACCACAGTCATAACAGGCCTTGCAACCATTGTCACGGTCATATCAGGCTTTAACTTTACCACTGTCATGACAGGCCTTGCAATATAGTATAGCATTGTCACAATCATATCAGGCTTTGACATTACCACCATCATGACAGGCCTTGCAATATAGTATAGCATTGTCACGGTTATATCAGGCTTTATAATTACCACCGTCCTGACAGGCCTTGCAATATAGTATACTGCTTTCATGATAACACTACCACGGTCATGGCAGGATCCTTGGCAACTTAAAAACACCCAATAACATGGTGACAGTTGTGCCAGGCATAAGTCTTGCAACAGATAGGGTCTCGCTATTGTTAAAAACTAAAATCTGTAGGACCTCTGTGTAATCAATTCATTGCTTTGCGCTTATCATGTGTACCTGTGCAGGTCTAATTAGCTTACTCTTCCTAATTACTCAGTAATGATTTATGAAACAGCTGACGACATATGTTTGTTGATGAACTTTTATATTTTCTTGCAGAATGAAAACAGAAGAGAAACAAGAGAATCATACCGGTATGGAGGCTGTTAAAAATAAAGTTCGTTCTTTGCTCAGTGCTTTTGAGCACGATGATCCAGCAAAAACCAAAACTGTTGTTGTTGCCTCTGATCCCACTTTGAAACAAACAACACCAAAATCAAAGTCATTTCAAGAGATTTTCTCTGATACAATCCGGAAGCTGCCTTCTAGAAATGGAGTGAATGATAAGACACAAAAAATAGTTTGTAAAACTAAAAATAAAGTTCTAGATTCAATCATGATTGATACGATTAAGAAAGAGCCGAGAGCTCCTGATTTAACTACAAATGGCACAATCAATTTGAAACATACAATATCTTCTGATATAAAAGAAGCAAACACAATCACATGTAATGGAATAGCAGCGGAAACAATAGGAATGCTCACCGACCCATCAATTGCTTTAAATGGTACAAAAAGTATCACTTCAAGTGCAACAAAATTCAAAGTGAAAAAAGAGCCAAAAGGGTTAAAAACCAAATCTCCTAAAACTGCAAGGCCTCTGCGACAAACGCCTCAGAGGGTGCAAAGTAACGAACAGAAGCCTCGAAAGCGACGTAAAAAACAGTTGATTGAAAGTAATGGTGACAAAGCTAATGTTTCAGTAAATGCTTCAATGTCTTCTCATCATAATGGAAGGCTTAACCAAGTCAGGATTACAATAAATGGCGTGAAGATCAAAGTTGATCACAGTATCCTGGCCAGATGGAGCGATGGGAGGTTTTACATGGGGACAATTGTCAAGGTAAATATACTGAACGGGTTCACGTTTCTACAAATTTTACCAAAAATCACTTGAAAAGTGCTTGTCCGAAGTCTTTATTCTATGTTTTCTACCTGCCATCATGTGTTCATCCTTTTCTGAAGAGTATGACTTTTATACTGTTTTATTACAGGCTGATGTAATCAAAGAGAAATGTCTTGTTCAGTTTGAGGATGATTCTCGCTACTGGGCATTGTTTAAGGACCTGAAGGAGGCACCGCCAAAAGGTGAAATCCACTGCAATAGCTGTTTTAGTGTAACATCTGATAAACCTAATGAAATTGTGCTCTGTGACAAATGTGGGATAGGTAAGTTGTTTGATATATTAATTAATTTAATGAGTCTGGAAAGCACATGGATTTTATGAGAAAACCAAATTTGAAACAAGCCATGGTATGTAACATTGTTGCAATTAAAAATGTTGATTAGGGCAAGTTGTGCCAAATAAAACACATGAACATATAAAACTAGCAATGAATAAAGCCTACAAAGATAACTACATGTGCAATACTATAATCTTAACTATATAATTCTAAACTACATGTATATGCATTTTTTTTATTGCGTCACTAAATTGTGAAATTGAATTGTATCAAAATTAAATATTCAATATTCATATCAGATAACATCAACCTCTAAAGTTAACGTTGAATTGATATTATATTGTTTTGCTCCAGGCACAGCATAGACTTGCATTTTAATTTTAACTTAACCACCTAACTGCACTTACATTATATACCTAGCTACCTGTTTTACCACCTAACTGCTCTTATATACCTAGCTACCTGTACTTTACTCGCAAACTGCACTTACATTATATACCTAGCTTCTTGTACTGTACTACCAAATTGCAGTACTGCACTTACATTATATACCTAGCTTCTTGTACTTTACTACCAAACTGCAGTACTGCACTTACATTATATACCTAGCTACCTGTACTTTACAACTATACACCTAACTGTAACTGTACTTGCACCTGATCTTGTAGGTTACCATCAGCACTGCCACAACCCTCCAATAGAAGATGATGTACTGCAGCCAGATGCAGAGTGGATCTGCAGACAGTGTATCTTCAGGAAGTATAAGCAGGTAACTCAGAGATTCCTCAGAGTGAAAGAGACCAGGGTCTAAGCTAAGCTATTTGTCTATTAGTCTAGCTACAAGCCCCTGTGACTCCCCCACCCCCACTTCTTGACTACACACCTTCCTTGTGGGGAGATGTATAGTGGGAGGATCACAGGGGCTTGTAGCTAGACTCAATGTTTATAATGGCTCTGGGTACACTTTTGTGAAACCAGCAACCTTCATCCAGAACTAATATTACACTCATGTGTGTCCATATGAAATTTTGTTTGAAAATTGAACTGGATGGAAAAAGATTTTGCAGTGTTTCTTCCTGAAAACATTGGCAAAGTTCATGTATTCAAAATCATGATTTTTATCTTGAACCAATTCCAAGATCAGTTTGTTTTTAAAAATCAGAAAATTCCAAGTTTCAAATATATTCTTATTAAGACATTGTTTTAGCCATGTGAAAAGTGACTGCTAATTTGGAAAACAAATGTCATGCCTTTCAGCAATGAATTCTGATCATGTTTCATAACTAAAACAATTGAATAGAGTTTAATTATTAAATTATACCTGTATTTCACAGATTCTCAGATGATTAACATCATATGTTTTGACTTCTGTCAATTTTATGCTCATTAATTAAAACATGTCCTTGCAACTGTGAATTAATTAAATTCCTATATTAGTCTATATAGGTCTATTCTATTTACTTAAAGGTGCAACAATTAGTGCAGGGGGGCCCGGGCCATTCAACTATCATCGATCAGTGTATCAAAATATATTTAAGTTTGGATATTTCATCAAGACTAACATATATTTTTATTATCCCCAAAGAAACCCCCTGGATGAAAATTATTACAGCTGATATTCGTCTTGAAATGTGGTGAATCTTAAAAATCTATAAGTGGGACTCCCTATAAACTTAATTTTCACTTCTAAATGCTGAAATTTAGAGTTTATCCATACATTTTAAGAAAATGGGTATGTCAAAGAAGATGTTAAGCCAAATATTGACCTGATGGCTCAGAAAGAAAAAAAAATTCGAATTTTCTCTTTACAGTCCTTGTTGCCCCTTTAATGGCTCATGTACTGTTATTTGCCTCAGTGTTAATAAGCCCCATCTACGCAATGACATTAATGCTGGATTTTGTTATTTTCAGTTGGATACACCACTCAAGATAGATACAACAGGTTAGTGTACAGAACAATTACTCATTAATTGTAAATGTATCTTATCAATGTAGTGCCATACACTACTGACCCCATTTTGTCACAATTTTTTTTTAACTTCCAACACTCCCTCTATAGATATTTAACTTCCATAGACATGGGCATCTGGGGGATTGGGAGATATCCAGCATTGAGGGTATAATTTGTTAGCTTTTAACTTTAAGTAGAGGTAGAACATGGCATCATTTTGTTTTGACATAGCTATATGTTTGAGTTATATTTGCAGTGTGAAAATATTATGTTTGCATGTGTACATTGTAAAGCATATACAAAATAGTTTCTAAATATTCGGTTATATTGAACATTTTTATTTAATTTTCTTTTTTTTGATCTTTCTTGAGAAAACACTAAGATGTTGAAGTTAAAGGCTCCATGTAAAATTTACACCGCTTTTGCTGACACTGTAGTCTAACCCAATGTTGCAAACAAAAAATTGTTAATTTTAAATGAAAATGTTGTGTGTGATTAAGTAGTTCATTTCACGAGTTATTGGTGTACAATCATAATCTATTTTGGGTTCAAAAAATTTAGATGACCAGTTGAAAAATAATAGAGAACTCACAAGCACAGAAAGGGGTTCTTATCTAAAAATGCATATTTTTGTTGCTAAAATTTCGGTGAATTCATATATTTGTAAAGGATTTTTTCTTATGTTTTTTGAAATGTCCCAAATAATTTTTTAAGTCATGGCAAATAATGTGTGGATGTAAACAATATTTTCAAACTTAACATGGAGCCTTTAAGCAAAATTACTATTTTGTTTGATCATCATAAGCTTGTACATCAAATCATCAGCTTCAAATCATTTGGGATTAAGATTATGATGGCAAAGGAAAAAGAAACGCATTTTCATAAGACTAAAAGGGTCAGGGCTGATGGTATGTAAATAATATCTATGATGATGGAGATTTTACAGAAACAAGAAATAAATGCCATGAATGATGTATTTCTCTGCATGATAAAAAACAATTACGCTTCAGCATCATCCAATCAGTTTTCAGTTTCCTAAAATTCCAATTTGATTTGTAGAACAATCTTTCTGAATTTTGAATATATGATCACTTGAAAACTAAAATCTTATTTGTTTTTGGACATCTGTTTACATTAAATAGTAGTTGAAACGGACTGGTCTTCGTATAGATGTCACTTTCATCATTATTCAACTTATATAAAATTTATCTAGCAAAATGAATTAAATGTCATTAATAGATGGCATGGAATGTGTTGAAAGATGCACTTGAGCTTGTGTTCATTTGATGTTTAAGCTAGATGATCCCATATTGAAATTTGACAGCAAATTTTGTCTCATCTTTCTACCTCATAGATGATACAGAGATTTTATAATATATTTGTTCGTATTGATCAAGAAATCTCCACAATCAAAGATACATCTGTGAAGTTATTTTCCCCATCTACCCTGACCAGCCTATGTTTTTAGTTTGTTAGTTTGTTGTAGATGTTGAGTGATATAAACTTCAGTTTCGGACATTGATCAAATACTTCTAGTACTAAGAATATGTGAAAATATCAGTGAATTTTTCTGTATAAGGGAACAATTTATGGCCCATGTCCACAGTCACATGGGTGTATTCCATTGTCATTAATTGCTGACGTCATTTTTCAGTAGCCAACCAGCATGCAGTCGCCAAATCTAGCTTTCCATATGATGTGAGTTTAGTTTTAGTTGTCTGTCTTAGGTAGCATTCACAAATTCAACTGTCGGCTGACAGATTAATCTACTATTTTATGGCCAACTCATTTAGAATGTGAATAGTACATGCTATTCGATTATTACTAGTACCACTTTTCCATTCATATTTAAATCAGTTGGCCATGAAATAGTGGATTTATCCGTCAGCCAGCAGTTGAATTCGGGAATGCCACCTTCAATTTTCATATTGAATAGTCTATATCTACGAGTGATATATCAGGGCTATTATGGCTTAATTGACTTATTTTAGCCTAAGCTGTATGGGGACATCTGTCTCCATTTCATGAGTAAGGAACTCTACATTAATGGTAACAATTGAAATAAAAACATTTTCTTGATTTTAACCCTGATATATCATCAATAATGTTCCCTGTTCTTTGATTTCATGACTTAATTAAGTTACTTTGTTCACTCATTTTTATGAATGAATATAGATGTGTGTGAACAAATAATGTAAATATTGTCGCGACAGAATCAAGATTGAATGGTTCGGGGGTTTCATTAACACCAGGCAACAGGCAATATTCACCGGTTATTTTCACAAAATTGCCTGTGTTTTTAGGGACTTCTCAACTTTTACATGCTTTTATGAGTTCCATTAATTGTTGTTTTCATTTATTTATCCTGTTGTGAGATATTCTAGTGAAACCCCTGATGGTTACTTAAAGATTTCCTTTATCATTGTTGTTGCTATTTTATGATGAGCATGAATGGGTTCTGAAGAACTGGATTAACATGTAGCCCTTTAATCACTCCTACATACTCTTGTTATGATGAGTCAATAAGTCACTTTCTGGTTAATCCTGTATCAATGTTGATTACATTACCTTCTTTGTTAAAGTTGTTTGTTGTTGTTGTTTAAAAATCTGGTTTGAAAACCTTGTTTAAACTAGTTCACTCACTGAACATAATCAGAGTTCAAAGCACATGCTATCTATTGCAAGACTTACGCCTGCCACAACCGTCGCCATGTTAATCAGTGTTTTTAAGTAGCGCAAGGATCCTGCCATGACCGTGGTAGTGTTATCTTGTAAGCCTGGTATAACCGTGACAGGCTGGTATAACCGTGACAATGCTGTATTATATTGCAAGGCCTGTCATGACCCTGGAAGTGTTATTGTGGAAGCCTGGCGCGACTGTAGCCTTTATTGTGGTTTATAAGCGAATGTGAATCTTAATGTATAGTAGTAATTTTGTAATTTTGACATAGTTCAACACCATGATCATAGTATTAAACTGTTTAATTGTAATGACGATCACTTAAAATTGTTAAGGATATTCCTGGCATTAATGTCATGCATATTTACTAGTCATTGCAATACATTATAACGGTCATAGTAGGACTAAGCCTAAATTTCAACATTACCACTCTCATACCTGAACTTGCAATACTACAGTTGGGGACAAAAATAAATGACAGGTCGATTTTCGATCACCATTTCCTAATTATGGTGGTCTGAAAGCCCATAATTTCCAATATTGTCTAGATATATATCCCTTAAAATTTGTATATTTTACATTTTATATAATCTCATCCACTGATGTATGGCCTCTTGTAAATTCTCTTATTTTTAACATGGGAAATCCTCACTTCAGCAAATCCACCTGTCATTTATTTATGTCCCCAACTGTATACTACATTGTCACGGTCATGCCAGGCCTTGCAGAACTATATAGCATTGTCAGGGTCATGCCAGGCCTTGCAGTACTACAGTATATTACATTGTCACGGTCATGCCAGGCCTTGTAGTACTATATTACATTGTCACGGTCATGCCAAGCCTTTCAGAACTATATTACATTGTCACGGTCATGCCAGGCCTTGCAGTACTATATTACATTGTCACGGTCATGCCAAGCCTTGCAGAACTATATTACATTGTCACGGTCATGGCAGGCATTGCAATATAATACAGCATTGTCGCGGTTATACCAGGCTTTCAATATAACATTACCACGGTCATGGCAGGATCCTTGCGCTACTTAAAAAACACTGAATAACATGGTGACGGTTACGCCAGGCGTTAGTCTTGCAACAGATAGGGTCTCGTTCAAAGTTGGTCTGTCAGAGATTCAGAAATAAGGACCATGTCTTGATTTAAACCCACTATAAAATATTGATTTGAAATCTTGAGTGGTTCATATTTACATGTACTTGTTTTATTGTCCTCAATGTGTTTTATTGCCCTTAATGTGTTTTATTGCCCTTTATTTGTTTTATTGCCCTTAATGTGTTTTATTGCCCTTAATGTGTTTTCCCTGGCTGAGAAAAATAAACACACAAATATAATTTTTTTGTTTTTTTTTGCTTTTCAATTACATAGCACTATATAGATTTTTAGAAATAGTACTGGGTAATAACAGGATGCAGCTGATAGGATGGAATTTGTCTCAAGAAATATTGAGATAAATGCTTAAACTTGAGTGGTGAAGTTGCCATAATCATAGTCAATAAATAATTTCAAAGGAGCCCAAATGATTAGTTATAACAAACAACTTGTAATGTTTTGTGCCATAACAAAGCTGAAAGTATGTAAAGAAAAAAGTCTGAATGGTGTCACGTCACAACATGGGAGAAAATGTTGACAAAAGGAGACAATACAACTCCACTACTTCCCAGTTATCTAATTTCATTTCGTGTTATGTCCAAAATATGACTACGACTCATGATTTGTTTGGTGGGATTTGCTGTTCTGAGGAGTTGCTGTTTTTTATCACACCATCGGTGGGATATAGTCGTCATACTGGTCGTGATCGTGGTCGTGATCGTGGTCGTGATCGTGGTCGTGATCGTGGTCGTGGTCGTGATCGTCCCGCTTTTTGTCATCGCCGTTTAAGGAAAACTGCTCATCAGATTTTCTCCAAATTCGCAGAGATGATAGAGCATATGAAGTACTAGAGCTGATTAACTTTTGGGTGGCCATCTTGTTTTCTGGCGGCCATTTTGAAGGTTTTTCGAAAAATCTTGTCATCGCCATTTCAGGAAAACCGCTCATTGGATTTCCTTCAAATTTACACAAATGATAGAGGATATCAAGTACTAGAGCTGATTAACTTTTGGGTGGCCATCTTAATTTCTGGCAGCCATTTTGAAGATTTTTCGAAAAATCTTGTCATCGCCATTTAAGAAAATCCACTCATCGGATTTCCTTCAAATTTACACACATGATAGAGGATATCAAGTACTAGAGCTGATTAACTTTTGGGCGGCCATCTTGTTTTCTGGTGGCCATTTTGAAGGTTTTTCGAAAAATCTTGTCATCGCCATTTCAGGAAAATCGCTCATCGAATTTCCTTCAAATTTACACAAATGATAGAGGATATCAAGTACTAGAGCTGATTAACTTTTGGGCGGCCATCTTGTTTTCTGGTGGCCATTTTGAAGGTTTTTCGAAAAATCTTGTCATCACCATTTCAGGAAAACCGCTCATCTGATTTCCTTCAAATTTACACAAATGATAGAGGATATCAAGTACTAGAGCTGATTAACTTTTGGGTGGCCATCGTGTTTTCTTGTTCTTCAAATTTGTAAACATAATAGGAGAACAGTTTTCCTGGTTCATAGTGTCTGCCTATTTGATGGTGTGATCTCGTTCACGTCCTGTGCCTTGTTAGTTAAAATAACACAGGATTTGAAAAATGCACATTTTTACTGCTGTTAAGTCCGGTGTAGGTGTTAAGAAAACACTTAGCATACATAAAATTTAAATCAATGACATAACATAAACGTCTTACTTAGATTTAGATATTACTTCCTCATTATTCGTGAACTGTTATTAGTAGGTATTCCGAGAACCATAATGACATTATAGTTAAGCACAAATTAGGTGTGCTTAAGTAAGTACTCATTCAAGATATATGACTGAAAACTGTAAGTCAAGAAAACATGATAGTTTATTTTAGTATTTTTGAAATAAAATAGTTTTGTTGTGTGAAATAAAAATATGTAAACTGTAAAGGGTTTTCCAACCAAATAATTATATGAAGATGTTGTTGTTACAGTCTGGCAAATAAGGATTTTTTCACTATAGCCAAAGGAGGATTCTCGGTTTGGAGAACGAAGTTCATCAATCTAAATGAGCATTATCCCTGCTTCGGACAAATTTGATTTTTTTACATAATATAGATTTGAATGTCTTCTTTTGAATAGTCATAATTTAATTTGGGTAATATTTCTAGATTTTTCGCAAAAAAATATTAGCGCAGTACACTGATGAACTTCTTTCCCCAAATCGAGACTTGTATTTTATTGAATCGGTCTATTTGAGCATTATCCCTGCTTCAGACCAATTTGTTATTTTTACATCTTGTAGATTTAATTGTCCTCTTTTGAATATTCATAGTTTAATTTGGGTAATATTTCTATATTTTTCATGAAAAAAATTTTAGCCCAGGAGGCTGTTCTCCAAACCGAGAATCGTCCTTTGTCCAGAGACATTTGAAACACTCTCGCCAAAATATTTTTCGTCTGGCCATAATTTTGTCTAGTCAGCATAAATTTTGCCCTCATCTTAAACTGTGCATGAATTGCGAATGGTAAATTAAACTGCTTAAAATAAGTGGAAAGGCCACACATGTCTGTTTCCTGATCAATGAAATTTCAGATTTGGGGTAGGCACTAGGCAGGTAGGTTCGTTGGAAAAATCTTACTCAAATTTTTTGAGGGTAAATTAGACAGAGCATGCTGATCAAATGTCTATACTAGAGTTGTATGTACTAACAATATAGATAAAGAAAATTGTGTTATTAGGCTATACTGCTAGAGTATGTATCATCAAAGAAGCTTTTATTTCAGAGTTTGGAGAGATCAATATTTTGAAAATGCAGCATTTTTTGAATTGAACCTCTTTAAAATGAACATCATGAACTTTTTTTAGTCTAATGAGGATAAACAAATAAAGGAATCAAATGTGCAAGGAGTTCTAGACAGGTATCTGGTTGTATAAATGAATCTTGA